CCCCCCCCCGACCCTTCAATGGAATAATTTAGAGAAAATTAAAAAAAAACCGCTTGATCCCTTCCCCAAACAATATATCCATCTCTGTCGCAAAACTCAAAATTTGAACGAACCAAAAATATCCAACCCCCTGTTACTAATACAGATACCTATATATATCCCGATTAAGGGGTAGTTCAAGGATGTTAAACTCGTTAAGTCAAGCTCATACCTTGTACCTACCCCACAGCAACTAAGTTTACCTACAGATACTATTTAATCCTGATCCACAGAAACGTCAAGATGTCAACTCCTCTCCCCTACCCCTAGTCACTAAGTTACCAAAAACAGAAGCAAAACTCTTATAGGTAAAAAGAAAAATTTTGTTGTACCCCTAAAAAAATTCAACCGAATGAAAGAAAAGAAAACTAATTAAAATCTATATCGCATTCCACAACACACTGTTTCGTTTAATCAAAAAAGCGGATGACAAGATTCATTTTAAAAAACTCACCTCTGCAGCCGACGCCTCGTGGTCCTCGATGCACGCCCGCTACTTTCAATTCCCGTGTCACCCCTAAGTCCAACGGTGTAAAAACAGCCTTGTATCAGACCTGGCAGGGTGGCTGCTGACTGTTCCGTCCCCGAGCGTTTTGCTTGGCAAGGTGGATAATTTCGCTCCGGATTAACCACCCTCACTGTCAGAGGGTGCGCGGACGACTGAAGTTCGCCTTGCTGGTTACGTGGGTGTAGCTGTGGCTCACGCCGCGACAAGACTAGGGCATTGGCTGGCTCACGGGGTAAACGAGGAGAACAGCAGCCAAGGGTAGGAAGCACGCATGGCGTCTGCGTGGAAAACGAAGAGACGCCCGATGCGTCTGAATGATTGGGAGAGGGCTAGAGAGAGAGAGAGAGAGGGGAACAAGACAGTGCCTGGCGTCTGAGAGAGAGGCTCGCGAGAAACCGGGGTGACTTTGGTACGTGTATATATATATATATATGTGTGTGCATATGTATATATATATATATATATATATATATATATATATATATATATATGTATGGCCTGGCTACGGGGTTGGTGTCGAGGGTGCGGCATCAGGAGGTTACGGATCTGATGCTCTAGAAGATGCTTTATTACACGAGATGATTGAAGGTTATGTTATCCTCTAAAATAGAACGTAGGCTCGGTACGCGATTAGTTGGACTGAATTACGATTGCGATCGAAAAAAAAAAAACATGGTAACAATTTATTTTGGATTTCGAAAAATTATTAAATAGAAATTTGGAGAAAATTTTAATGAGGAATCATATCGACGGATAAAAGTCGTTTATGATTATACTTAATTTGATGTTAGGGGGTTCATGATATGGGGGTTGATTATGATGAGGATTTTTGCCCTAGTTTATTATGCTTATCATTATGCTTTTACAATGCGCGTATAAAATTTATGAGTAACCGAATGGAACTGAAGTAGTATACATAGTACAGTAAGCCAACATACTTTTTTTTTATTTCAATATTGTATTTAATGATGTATTATTAACGTGGCCTAATGGGGGTTGCTAAGAGAGCAGCTAATTAATTTATCGCCGAGGCGTATTAGCGATAAAAGTGGCCCAATAATTCCAAGACGTTGATATCAGAGGCCACTCCGGTTTTAATCAATACTCCGACGTGTCTTCCTTGGTCCTGGATCTCCTTTTGTCTACCGTAAAAAAGAAAAAAAAAAAAAATTTCAAACATACCCCTAAAAATAAATAAATCTTTACTCGAGTATAAATAACACGCAAAAATGTAGGATCGATAAGAGATCCGAAAAGTGGATGTTGTACCGACATAGTCAGCCGCCTCCTGAGCTTTTCTCGAACCACCATTAACTGGCAGCCCGATATGCCTGGACAATTGTTTGACGAATACAGAAGCAAGTACGCCAAATCCAGAAACAATCCTTAATTTTAATGGGGTGGTAAAGGATTCAACGATGAAATTGGATTTTTTTGATGAAGTTAAAACGAATCAATCATAATTCCAGTCTGTCTCGTGTAATGAGGTATCCTTCTACTGAGTACTACGTAATAATAATAATCGTGGCTATAAATGATAAAAAGCTGATTAAGGGTAGAATGTAATTTTGACACTTAAAAAAAGTACAATATGTAATTTGATTTGTCTAAAAAAAATGAGGGGGTGACTTTTAAGACACCCAAAAGGGTGTAAGTGCCTGAAGTATATTGTCTCATTATAAAATGGTGGTATCGATATTAAACAACCCTTGTCCATGGTGAAGAGAGGGTCGTAGCTCTGAGCGAATATATATATATATATATATATATATACACATACACAAGCTGCTGGAAAGTTCGGGGATGCCAAGTTGAAAACAAGAGTAGCGCCACTCTGTCGCACCACCCTGGCGCCACCCTCTCCCCTATAATTCGCTCTCCTCCATTTCTCCAGCCTTGGACAGTAGGGGGTGGTAGTAAGACAGCTCTGTGCGCGATACCGTACATGCGTGTCTGCAAGGGGTGGATATC